TGAGAAGCTCTGTATCAGTGGATCTTATGTGAATAGAATAATCTTTGTCCTCAATCCTACATTGAGGTATTTATAGAGATCTTTTTTGGGCTTATATCCTTGAACCCAGGTAGTGGTTATCATGCTTCTCTCTTCGGAGCGTGGGACGTGGAAATCATTCTTTCCCCTATTATACTAGAGAATATGATTTCCCCTTTTTAACTAAGTTTTTCATATTGATAGTACTTAAGGACATGTCACTCCCTACATTTTATATGTGAGTGAGATATGGTATGATCCTAGCCCAATAGCGGACGACTATTACAATCAATGAGCGAGTGTTGCAACCAATGAACGAGTGTTATAACCCTAAGACAACATATGATGCTAACTATATACTTGTCTGCAATTGACTTATCTTTCTTCCCTTTAATTTATCTTCTCGCAAAACGAATATATTAGAATACACCGGGTCAGCCCATTTAACCTGCCATTTTTGGCGGGCTGGGCTGAGGTTTTTGACTCGGTACTTTAAGTTGGTCCGCCCCGCCTAACCCACTAGAAAAGCGGGTTGGGGCGGGGCGGGTTTTGCCCACAGACTTTTTGTTAAAACTTTTTTATTTTCTTACTTAGAATTAAAACAACTTTAACTATAAAAATAATATTCTTCTCTTATGATTATGTTGATTGAATTGTATCATAAATTATTATACAAATAAATTGAATTATAATTGTAACATTCTGTCTATAACTTTCTAATACATGTGTTGGTTTGAAAAACTTGAAATAAAAAACAATTGTATGGCTTGCTGAATTATTAAGTTGTCAAACATTAGCTAACATGTTTTCTTTAGAAATAGATGTTGATTTTAAGAAAAGGAAGGATTTTATTAGTGTATACATGTGACAAATTTAGGATTTAACTATTAAGAAATTAGTCAAAATAAAAGTCTATATGATGTAAAGAATGAGAAAGTCAAGTGTTGATATTTTATGCACTGTGATGTTTTATACAGAGTAATTGTTATTATTGTTTGTCTTTTGTAAATTCTTAATTGTGTTCTTTTAGTAGTTAGTTTTTAAATAGAATTAGGATGATATGTAGTGTTTATTTATTTTGATACGTTTTTTTATTGTGCTTGAGTTTATTTCATTATTTTTTGTTGTAGTAATTGATCTATATTTATTTTATTTTTTGACTGTTTGGACTTAAGACATGTGGAAGTTCTATTATGCTTTAAAAAAATCTGGATTAATTGCAATTTTGGTCCCTCTATTTTATTTTTTCTGAGTTTTGATCCTCCTATTTTAAAAGTCGAAATTTTTGTCCCTTTGTTTTCATTTTTTTTTAGTTTTGGTTTCGCTATTTTAAAATTTGAAATTTTTGTTTCTCTATTTTCATTTTTTGTGAGTTTTGGTCCCCTTATTTTCATTTTTTAAAACTTTTGGTCCCCTATTAAATTTGTTCCTAATTGAAAAAGGGATTAAAATTCAAAACAAAATTTAAAATAGGGAATCAAAACTAAAAAAAAATGAAAATAGAGGGATAAAAATGGAGCGGGCCTGAACGAGACGGGACACCCACTTTGCCACCCATATATATATATATATACATATATATATATATATATATATATATATATATATATATATATATATATATATATATATATATATATATATATATATATATATATATATATATATATATATATATATATATATATATATATATATATATATATATATATATATATATATATATATATATATATATATATATATATATATATATATATATATATATATATATATATATATATATATATATATATATATATATATATATATATATATATATATATATATATATATATATATAGGCAAAATATCCTTTTTGGTCCCTTAACTATACCTCGGGGTTCATTTTGATCCCTTAACTTTAAAAAGTTCTATATTGGTCCCTTAACTCTTCAAATGTTCCATATTAGTCATTTTTGACCTATTAGCGACGGATTTAGCGACGGTTTTTTTGATTTTTTTCCGTTGCTAATAGGTCAAAAAGGACTAATATGGAACGTTTGAAGAGTTAAGGGACCAATATGGAACTTTTTAAAGTTAAGGGAGCAAAATAAACCCCGAGTTATAGTTAAGGGACCAAGAAGGATATTTTGCCTATATATATATATATATATATATATATATATATATATATATATATATATATATATATATATATATATATATATATATATATATATATATATATATATATATATATATATATATATATATATATATATATATATATATATATATATATATATATATATATATATATATATGAGAGCATATCGGATGAGAACTAATATCTATTATGAAAAATGAGAACTATCAATATTAATTATTAGATTTGATTAACGTTTAAGATTTAAAAGTTTCATATTAAAAAACACCTTACTGAATTACTTTTGTTAAATTTAATATATAAAAAAGAAATTTTTATCTAAAATAATTTTATTTAAATGATTATATTGTTATTAAAATATTATTAATATATTAATTATAAAAAGAGTGTTTTATTACCTATTTTATTTTGGAATTTTATTTAGTCTTTACAAATATTTATAGTGTAGATTATTCTAATTTTAAATAAAAAGTTTAAGAAAAATGTTAAATATTACGAATTAAGCTTCATTGAAATTGCACGACCGAATTTTTATTTAAAAGAAAGTGTTTTATCTTTCAATTTATATTAACATTATATCACTCTTTAAATACTAAATACATTTAAATTATATTTTATATTTGTATGGTAATTAAATATTAAATATGATTGTAACAAATATTTTAATAATAATTTAATCATTGCAATAAAATTATTTTGGGCAAAAGTTCTTTTTTATGAAGCTTTTTCAAATTAAAAAAAATAATAATAACGTGATCTTAATATAAAATTTTTAAATCTTATACGTCAATTAAATCTAATTATTAACATTAATAATTTTCATTTCTCACATATTTATTAATTCTCATCGGGTACGTTATATATATATATATATATATATATATATATATATATATATATATATATATATATATATATATATATATATATATATATATATATATATATATATATATATATATATATATATATATATATATATATATATATATATATATATATATATATATATATATATATATATATATATATATATATATATATATATATATATATATATATATATATATATATATATATATATATATATATATATATAACTTTGTATGAAATTAATTTATCCTTTTCAAACAAAGAAAACTTTATATTATAATGTAAGGTAAAATATAATTTGTTAAATTTTTTTAAATATTTCTAAACCTATCATTAAGAAAAATCTTAAAATAAATAAAAAAGGTTGAGTTAAGCTAAAATTAAAAAATAATGAACATATGATAAATAAATTAAAATAAATATAATATCTTTTGATGGAGAAGTTTTCTTCTTATTAGGATTAGTGATTAGTATTTATAATAATTGTATAAAAGATATGCTACTTATACAAAAAATGTAGTAGTTTAAAGACAGATTATAATATATAAATTAAAAAAGATTAATACAATTTATGTAAAATATAATATAAGAAGAAATAAGATTAAATATTTTAAAGAAAATTATAATTCATTCATTATAATTTTTATATATATCATATTTTTTTTCTTATTTGCCAAATATTTAAAAAAATTATATTTTTACAAATTAATTAATTAAAATATAAATATTTATTTTATCACTAAACATATAAATTTACAACCGTGTGAAATAATATTTTAACAAATTTCTATAAATATTTGTTATTTTTTATGTTACGCTTATATATTACTAGCGTTCAGACGGGTACGCGAGTGTCTGTCTGTCCGTTTTTTTACTACACACATATAAATATAAATGATATATTTTTATTTAATATTAATTTTATATGAAAGTTATGTGGAAAGTTATTAGTAGAAAGTTATATGAAAGATAATAGTAATAGTTCAATTAAAATTATTGTATAAATTATATATTTTAAAATAAGGGTAAATTTGATATAAAAAAAAGCTACACCAAAAACTAAATATTACCTATGTTATAGATTTTCAATTCAATGAATATGCAGAATGCACAAATACTTTATTGATTATTATTATTAAATAATATTTTATTTTTAAATTTAATTAATACTTTTTTATAAAAATAAATAATAAATACATTCAACTCACCCTATAATGAATAGATGAGAATGAATGAATGAATACATATTTGATTTATATTTGGGATACATCACATCCCTTCCTTCTTTTGTCTTTAAAGTCTTAGGTACAACTGTTGCGTAACAGATGAGATGACTCTCTTCCCCCTAACCTTTACTTCTTTAAAAGTTAAAAACAAATCGTACGGATCAATGCCTACTTGTTCTAGTGGGAACCAACTCCCTTGGATTCTTCCTCAGTCGGCGCGTTATTTCTCATTCCCAATTACCATCAAACTCCCTTTTATTTACACTTCTTGCCATCCGCCCCACACCACACCAACAAGGTGCGTGCCTGTGTTTGAGTTGAGCACAGCAACAAAATTAGTCCGGTTAAGCCTACTCATAGTTGATAGCTCTACAAGACATCAGATTGAACTTTTATTAAAAAATTATTAATAAAAATTAGGTTTTAAATAATATTTTAGTTTTTTTTATTTAAATAAAAAAATGTCAAAATTAATCTTCTTAAGATTAAAAAAAAATGAAAACTAAAAAACACTCTAAACTCAAATCTCTTTGTTACTTTAGATCTGAGTTATTATTATGAAGCCTTTATCATAGGTTTCCCTATCCTAGTTCCTCTCTCCCCAAACCTCAACCCAAAAGAAAAAAATATTTTAGAAAAATAAATAAATTAAGATACTTAATACCTACCCTTATTCTTAGTCTTATACCCTTAGCTTTTACATGTTTAGATTATTAATTTAATTTAGAAAAAATATGGAAAAGGTAGCTCCTCCTCTTCTTCCTCTTCCTCTTCCTCATCCATTTTACGATTCATCAAATAACAAAAAACGCGATCTATCATACGACGTCGTTCACCTACCAAACGACAATTGGAACCCTAAAGAATGGAATTGGGACAGTGTTCGATTCATGGCCAAATCCACCGTCTCTCAACAACAACAGCAACAACCGGAAGAAACTCTCAAATTGAATCTCGCCGGTGGTGGTTTTTCCGGCGGAGGTCTTACAAATAGAGCTAGCAAAAGAGTACGTTCAGGATCTCCATCTGGAACGGCGTCGTATCCGATGTGTCAGGTTGATAACTGTAAAGAAGATCTATCGAAAGCGAAGGATTATCATCGGAGACATAAAGTGTGTGAAGCTCATAGTAAAGCTTCGAAAGCGTTGCTTGGGAATCAAATGCAACGGTTTTGTCAACAGTGTAGTAGGTTTCATCCTTTGTTGGAGTTTGACGAAGGGAAACGAAGCTGTCGTCGGAGACTTGCGGGACATAATCGTCGCCGGAGAAAGACGCAGCCGGATGAGGTCGCTTCTCCTCCGTTGAATCAGCATGTTGCGGCGGCTGCTAATTTGGAAATCTTTAACTTGTTGACTGCTATTGCTGATGTTTCGCAAGGTAAAAGGTTAAGGCGCGTTTGGCTTATTTTTTTCTTCTAAAATCAGTTTTTTTATTAAATTAATGTTTAAAACTGTACTATTATTTTTATTTTGGTAGTTATTAATTTGTAAATATTAGAAATTAGAAACAAAAATTTGTTGGTATTTATTTGAATTAACTAAAAGTATTATATTTTTAGTTAAAATTATAGTGAAATTACTACGTTTAGATTTTTTTTTAAAGTAATTCTTTTACACTAAATTTTGGATCAATAATTAGTTTTATAGATTACATAAGTTTTCTTAAAATCAGAACCCTCTAATTAATATTTTAGATACATTAAAAATATTATGTTTATTAATTTTTTGATCATGAATTAAAAAAATATTGTTTTCATGTTTGCATATAATAAAATAATCCGCTAACTATTTGAGATTAATTATTTATACGAAAATATAAATTTCTAAAATCATTTAATAAACCAAAACTAACAAGAAAGTGCTATTGATGAAGAGTGTTTTCTTAAGAAGCACTGACCCCGCGAAACACAACGTGGACAGGTAATAACTTGAAAAAAAAGAAATTAAATGTAAATACAAGTGTCGGTGTCGGTTTTGTACACTGACATTGACACAGATATACATTTTTTCAAAGGTGTCGGTGTTATATGAGTGTTTTCTATTTTCTTATTATTATCGGGCTAAGATTGTTTGCGTTGATGTTATTGTTTAGGAAAATCTGAAGAAAGAAGGTCACAAGTTCCCGATAAAGAGCATCTTGCGCAGATTCTGAATAGGATCCCATTACCTGCTGATCTTACCGCAAAGTTGCTAGATGTTGGTAATAACTTGAATGGGAAAAATGGTAATGTGCAAATACAAACTTCATCATTCTATCATCATCGTGATGGTCAACCTAATAATGGCCCCTCGGCTCCATTAACGATGGACTTTCTTGGCGTACTTTCCACCACTCCATCGGCGCCTGATCAAAATGCCATTTCGTTACACTCTCAAAATGGTGGCAACAAGTCCACGACCAGTGCTGATCAGATTAGAGAACAACAATTCACTTCAGTTGGTGGAGAAAGAAGTAGTGGCAGTTCCCAGTCTCCAAATGATGATTCAGATTGCCAGGAGGATGTTCGAGTGAATTTGCCACTGCAACTTTTTAGCTCCTCTCCAGAAGATGACTTCCAATCAAAATTGCCATCTTCGCGAAAGTATTTCTCATCAGAAAGCAGTAACCCTGTGGATGAGAGGTCGCCGTCGTCATCTCCTCCTGTTGCGGAGATGAATTTTGGTTTGCAAAGTGGGATTAGAGGTGTCAATCCTAATAGCAATTCAACTGGAATAGGAGTCGATGCAAATAAGGAAACCAGCCAAAGTCATAGTTGTACTACTATTGCTTTTGATCTCTTTAAAGGGTCAAAATCAAATAACATTATCCAACAAGCTAGTTCAGTTCAGAGTGTTCCATTTAAAGCTGGTTATGCATCTTCAGGCTCTGATTATTCACCTCCCAGTTTGAGTTCAGATACTCAGGTAGTCTGGAATTTTGTAATTCATGATCCTTGCTTGCTTTAAATGTGTATTTTGCTTTATGTGTATTATTATTTTAATCAAGATGCTCAGGCATTTCACCTTTTTGTGTTTGAATCTATTTGTGATGTTATTCCAACAGGATCGTACTGGGAGAATAATGTTTAAATTATTTGACAAGCATCCTAGCCATTTCCCAGGAACATTGCGCACACAGGTGAAACTACTGTCACACTTTCCCATAAATATTTTGCTAATCGGGTGATGTCATTATATTGAATGCGACAAATGTCCTTTGCCATATGTGATAATATTATTAATCATTTTGATTTTTCAGATTTACAATTGGCTTTCTACCCGTCCATCAGACTTGGAGAGTTACATAAGGCCCGGCTGCGTCGTCCTATCAATTTATGCCACAATGTCTTCTGCTGCCTGGACGCAAGTAAGTGAACTGCTGTGATGCACATTTTGAGCTTGTAGGATTCTAATTGCTGATTACTTGCATATTGTGTGTTTTGCAGCTAGAAGAAAACTTCCTCCAACGTGTTCATTCTTTAATTCATAACCCAGATTCTGATTTCTGGAGAAATGGAAGATTTCTTGTTTATTCTGGCAGTCAGTTAGCATCATACAAAGATGGTAAGCACTGTAACTGCTTTCAATCCTTTTTGCCTTAAGCTGCTTAATTTTGTATTCAAATTTTGCTCTTTGGAATAGTTTTACCCATTTAGTTCGATTGTTCATAACTGATTTTTTAGACTTTAGCAGAATAAATGTTCCATCATAGCTAGATTTTTAATATCAAGGAGTTGAATCAGATTGGTTTAAACTGAAATTCCAGGAAAGATACGCATGTGCAAACCATGGGGAACATGGAGGTCTCCAGAGTTGACGTCAGTGTCCCCTTTGGTGATTGTTAGTGGACAAGAAACCTCTATGTCATTGAAGGGAAGAAACCTGTCTGCTTCTGGCACAAAGTTAGTACTGATTTCCCCCTTTTCTGGATGTTGTGTTGTGCTTCTTTCTGGTCTGTTTTCTTACTGTTTGCCCCTAAATTTTGCAGGATTCATTGCACTGGCGCTGACTGTTACACGTCATCAGAAGTTATAGGATCTGGTATGGTCTATGATGAGATAAAATTGAGTGGTTTTAAAGTTCAGAATGCATCTCCTGGTGTTCTAGGTCGCTGTTTCATTGAGGTATATCTCTACATTCTATTGCCTGCGTATGCTTACTTTGTATGCTCGCTAAGTGGGGGTATTTGATCCATGTCTTGCAAATTTTCATGTATCTGAAGTATATATTTGTAAACTCTATCAAAAATGATAATTGCAACTTACATATTTGTGAGCAGGTTGAAAATGGTTTCAAGGGCAACTGTTTTCCAGTGATAATAGCCGATGCATCCATTTGCAAGGAATTGAGACCGCTTGAGTCTGAATTTGACGAGGAGGAAAAAATATGTGATGCCATTTCGGAGGAGCATGAATATCATTTTGGGAGGCCCAAGTCAAGGGATGAGGCTTTGCACTTTCTGAATGAGCTTGGATGGCTGTTTCAAAGGGAAAGGTTGTCGAATGTGCACGAGGTTCCAGATTTTTCACTCGAGAGGTTCAAATTTGTACTGACGTTTTCTGTGGAGAGAAACTGTTGCGTGATAGTCAAAACCCTTTTGGATATGTTGGTTGATAAACACTTCAAAGGAGAACAGTTGTCAACAGGCTCAATGGAAATGCTAAAAGCAATCCAACTCCTAAATAGAGCAGTGAAAAGAAAGTACATCAGCATGGTTGATTTACTTGTCCATTATTCTATACCTAGCAAAAATGACACATCCAAGAAATATGTATTTCCACCAAATCTTGAGGGACCTGGTGGTATTACTCCCTTGCATTTGGCAGCATCTACACTGGATTCTGAGGGTGTAATTGACTCTTTAACAAATGATCCACAAGAGGTAATTATTTCCTTTCCCATTTGGATTTTCTGATTTTTACTTTTGCTGAGTAACTAGGAAAATAATCTAATTGAATTGTCTGTGGTAGTATTTTAGGGTTTTAAATAGGTCAAGTTATAGGCCATCTTCAAATCCTCTTATGCCTAACAAGTTGAATTATTTAAATAAATTTAAATAATATAATATATTTTGTTATTAAATTAAGGTTTTTTGTAATGTGTGAATTTTATATTTCTCCTTCCATAGCTTGGCCTGAAATGCTGGGAGACCCTTGTGGATGAAAATGGGCAGACTCCACATGCATACGCTGCGATGAGAAATAATCAGTCTTACAATATGATGGTTGCCCGGAAACTTTCTAATAGACAAAGAAGTGAAGTTGCAGTTAAAATTGACAATGAGATAGAGCACCAATCACTGGGAATTGAGCTTATGCAAAAGCAAATTAACCAAGTCAAACGGGTTGGGAACAACTCTTGTTCCAAGTGTGCAATTGCCGATGTTCGCTTCAAGAGAAGATTTTCAGGTTCACGGAACTGGCTTCATGGTCCCTTTATTCATTCAATGCTAGCTGTTGCTGCTGTTTGTGTATGTGTTTGTGTGTTATTCCGCGGAACCCCTTTTGTAGGCTCAGTTTCTCCCTTCAGGTGGGAAAACTTGGATTTTGGCACAATTTAATTCTGTCAGTCAATGAAACACATAAACCAGTTGAGCTATATCTCCCCAAATGGTAAGATTACTTAAGTGGGGAAGTAGTGCATTTTGTAATGAGAGCAAAAAATGAACATATTAAGCGTGGCAGATTCAAGAGAACCGGAAAAGAAGAACTGAATATTTCTCTTTAATGCCAGAGTTGAGGGTAATAAGTAATAAGTTACACCTGAATGTTTATCTTCTGGATGTTAGAAATTTTAGAATTGAAGAAATTTTCCACTGTTTGACCAGATAAAACATGAACTCCTCATTTAAGCATTGACAATTATGAGAGCAGCAAGCATTGGGAATAAAGAGAACTGAGTTGGATAAATGTTGATCCGGTCAAATAATTTGGTTTATTGCCTTTTTTTTTCACCCTGAAGGATCAATCAGGAAAAATTATCTGCTACATTCTATGTATCATACTTTGATGCATATATTTTGTTATTGTATAGTTTATTTGAAGATATTGATATTAGGGATGACCATACTATATGATTAAAAGTGTTGATATATTTTTAATTTTAACTTATATCTAAGTTCACGTTTCAGTCACATCATCGCCAGGCCGGTGGCAAAGGCTTGTATTGTAAGGGAGGATCCGGCTCAAATTTTATCACTAGTTAAACAAAATTTCGTTACACATTTGTTTCGATTAACCTTTTGGATAAACAAGACATCTATATGCTTTGCAATGGTTGGAAGACGTTCTGTCATATATTTATGCTTCTTTAACCCAATACTTTCAAATCTATTCCAAATATCGTTTTGGTGAAAAAAATGTGTTCAAAAATCCACTTCTTGAAATTTGAGGATTGTTAAGCTGTTTTTCTTTTCTTCTAAGGCCAGCATATATTACTTGAGCTGACTCGTTCTATTTTATATGATTCAACACACCACGACCACACAAACTTTCATTGAATAACTATAACTCTCTTTACAACCAATTTGTACACCTTGAAAAAACATAAAATAGTGGCAAAATACTTTTCCACTAAATCATTAAATTAAGCCTTAATACATACCAAATATAATATCTAAAAATTTGTTGGCACATCTGTTTGACGGTTTAACATGTGCGAGTATATTTATACATTCGATCTTTTCTCTAGAAACTCTTATTCACATTGTATTGTCAGCATAAACTCTTTTATTTACATATTTTTGTACTGTCGTTGACTCTCTTTAACGGACATCTTTATTCACATACCTTTGTATTGCCTGCAAAAACTCTTTTATTCGTATATTTTTGTATTGCCGTTGACACTCTTTAACGGACATCTACTCACCAACTGTGAGGAGTCTTTTCGATACAAGGAAGCTAATTCTTCATTCAAACCAAAGGTTTTAAATATTTTTACATTTTTTTGGAGCTTTTCTCTATGCGCAACACATCTCCTTCATTCGAATCAAAGACTTTGAATATTTTTATATTTTTTGAAACTTTTCTCTATAAATAACACATCTTGTGAGAGACACACCGTATATTTATCAAAAATCTTAAGATGATAGGTTTGTAGATTTTCTCACATATACATACTTAAATCTCAACCATTCTATTTAATTTGAAACTTCTCCGCAATTTATTTTTCAACAAAATTCACAATTCACTGGTATTGTAAAAATTTACTTTTAAAATCAAACTTTCAAAAAAATGAATATTTCAAACTAAAATATCCTTACAAGATTTCTTCACACAACTATTTACATCTGATAAGTACACTATAATTTTTTATTAAACGGATTAGTGTGGCTGAGTTAACAATTTTGAGATGACAACTAATAAAAGTGTTAGAATCAAGTTTTAGATAGAATCAGAAACAATCTTATTCAAATTTATCATTTCTATTCGATTTTGAAAATATTAACTCTTGTTTTATAATATGGTTTTAACTTTTAACAATTTTAAAAATTATTATTTTTATTTAAATACTTTGATAATTTAGTGAGACATTTGCCTTTGATGCAAATTTATAAACACAACTGCAATTGATATGATTTCTTTATAATTAAAGGGGACTTTTTTTATATTATTTTCTTTTTTTCTAAAACAATTTTTTTTTATATTATTTTATTTTTTTCTAAAGCAACTTTGGTTAGTAGTGTATAAAAATTTAGTTAATACAATTTATAATTTGATTAATATATATCTTGACGTCAAAAAGTAGTATTAAATAGTAAAATAAAATTCATTAATTAAGCATAAAAAATTGATTAATATAGTTATAGACTGGTTAATAAGTGTCCTAACATTAAAAATAATCTTTCATATTAAATTAATTTTAGTTAAAAATTAGTTAATAATATAGTTCATGAGTTCTCAAAATTACAAGTACTAAAATAAAATTAGTTAACGTAGTGAAATAAAAAAGGTTATCATATTTTATTTAAAATTTGGTTAATATTATGTGTTTTATTAATTAATGAAATTGTAAAATTAATTAATCTATAATTTATAATATATATAGGCAAAACATGCTGTTTTGGTATAACATATGTCTTTCAATTTTATCCTTATTTTAATATATATATATATATATATATATATATATATATATATATATATATATATATATATATATATATATATATATATATATATATATATATATATATATATATATATATATATATATATATATATATATATATATATATATATATATATATATATATATATATATATATATATATATATATATATATATATATATATATAACTTAGTCAATAATTTTTTACATAACTTTCTAATTAACTTTCTAGTATTAACTTTCTACTTAGCTTCTATTTAAAATTAATATTAAATAAAAAATAACGTTTAAATTTTTACACATGTGTATTAAAGGCAAAATTGATTTTGGTATAACCTAATTTTCTATCAATTTTACCCTTATTTTAAGACATGTAACTTACAAAATAATTTTCATTGAACCATTATTTTCATCTTTCACATAACCTTTTACTAATAACTTCTTACATAACTTCCATTCAAATTAACATGAAATAAAAAAAATATCATTTATATTTTTACGGGTATGCATTAAAAATATCAAATATACCCTTTTTAGTTATTATTTTAAATTTTAACTTTTCATTCTAATAAATGGTGGTTATGTGATAATTTATTATTTTTTACACTATTATCTATTACTACTATTTTATAAATAAATAATAAAATTAAAATTAAATAAAAATAAAAATACGATTTATATTTTACGTGTGTGGGTATTATAAAAAACGGACAAAGTGCCCGTCTGAACGATAATTATAAATAATAGTAAAATAAACGGTTGGTAATATATATTTTTGTGATTAATTTAATAGTAAAATAGATTAATGATATAATCTTGTGTTGTGAAATAAATGTAACTAACTTCTTTTTATAAATAATATTTAAAAAAAAACATTTACCATATAAACATGATGAATAACATTGGTGTAAGCATTTGGTGTTAAATATTAGTGTCAAGAGATACATATAATATTTTCACATCAAATTTTATAAATTACACAAATGTAACACAAACACTTTCAACATAAATAAATAAATAAATATGAAGCAGCCTAGCACACATTTTACATCCCTATATTAATAAAGATATACATAACAGAAACCAATGAATTAGAGAAAAAACATGAGACGATGTTATGCATAGAAATTATTGTTTGCGAGGTTTTGTAATAGTATTATTAGCACCAGTGAGAGTTCCACTTCCTCCTTTGGTAATATTTTGAACAAGAACTTCACCCAAATTTTCACCAAGACCTTCAACAAACCCTCCAATAAACTCAATCACAACTTGGGAAGCAACTTTAGCTGCAGCAGAAAGAACACTTGGTTTTTCAGGAACCCTAATACCATTAGCTTGAAGACCATTCACTTTACTCTTCGCACAAAATGCATGAAGATTATAGTTACACACCGTGCACCGATAAACTTTCCCCGATCTTCGTTTCTTGCACTCGTTGCAAACGATCGAGGTGGAATGATCGGTGTTTGTTGCGGCAGAGGAAGTGGCGGTGGATGAAGGTGTTAGTTTGAGAGGGTGGGGATGGTTTGGGAAGTCAATTTCTGTGTTGAGCATGGCACAACATGGATGCATTTGGAAAGCACATGCTGTGCATAGGAATGTATAGCCTTTTGTTGGTTTGCCACAAACGTCACATTTTGATTTTGTCATTCCACTTTTCACTGAAAATGTATATTAATAACAAATTTATTAGACTATATAATCAAATAATTCAAGAACCAAACTCTATTATGTATAGTAATGTTTTCTCCTATAAAATATAGATACTTAAATATAGACCATAACACAAACACATATAAAAAATATTATATATATATATATATATATATATATATATATATATATATATATATATATATATATATATATATATATATATATATATATATATATATATATATATATATATATATATATATATATATATATATATATATATATATATATATATATATATATATATATATATATATATATATATATATATATATATATATATATATATATATATATATATATATATATATATATATATATATATATATATATATATATATATATATATATTATATATCGTCATATAATTTTCAGACATCGACGTGTATCAGATACCACGACACGTTTATTTTTAAAAATGTTCTTACTTCATAAATTATAATAGGTTGAATCTCCGATGAGAGAATTGATTTTGCAAAGTAGCTGCGGAGCTATTTGCCTTTTATTATTATGTATATAAATAATTATGCTTATTGGTTTGTTCTTGGATTCAACAATTCATTGGTAAAATTTGAGGGAGAGAGGGTTAGAACCTGGTTTGGAATGGAACAAAATAGCATGTTGAGAATGGAAAGGATGAGAATTAAGAGCAGGAGGAGCCAAAGCACAAAAGTCATGAAGTTGATAATCACATTGTTGACAAACAAATCTCTTCCCAGAGCCATATTCTTTAC